TGTCCCTATCGCTTCGTTAAATATTTGAGCAAAACAACTTTAACACAGTATTACAATAAGAATCATAAACATGAATTCAGGTCATTGTTTAAAGAAGGAAGAGGGTACAAATGAAAAGATTCAAAATTGACGTTTTTCCATTTCACTGAATGCAGACGTTAAACACATGTGAGTGCGATCGCCTCCTCTATCATTCTTTCTTTTCACTAAAAACGAAACAGCGTCTCTGACATACCTTTTTCTTCTGTGTTTATTCACAATCAAAACGGAATAATCCATTGTTTATGATAGGTAACAGTTAGGCTTAACGTACACTAAGGAACGAAGAAAGAAAGAAAAAAAGAATTATAATTTGCCTACTGAACTTATCAATCGTCGTTAGATTTTCACAAGTATTCCCCAATTTTGAAATGTTCACGGACACTAATACTACGTTTTATTTTGCCAAAGAATCGAGATTTTTCTAAATCCCAATCTGTATCTGGAGACGTTAAACAAAACAGTGTCGGATACTTAAAAATCACTCGCGAATGATTCATCCAAATGCTTAAGTTGTTACACATAGTGTGAATATTTTTTAAAACAAAAAATCCAAGAGTGTGTTTAGGTTTAATGACTTCAAACAAAATAATTGTGTAGATGCTATTTTATAGAAAATCTTTCTGAATTTGAAAAAAAAGGAACGTAAATTACAAACTATTTAATTCCCATAAATGTTTTCGTGCTTTGCTAAAATGTCAGAATTTTGGCTGCAATAAATGTGATGTCGCATTGTCTGCTTTGAATCTGTAATAGTCGCATTTTTTCACACCTCCATGATTGATATTCAAATACAAGTAAAACCCAGAACCTGACATGTCGATTTTCAAGTTATACAAACGCTTTCTATTTAATGGATTAGCCCAACATAATCTTCCAACTTTACTTTCGCGCCATTTGGCTTTGCGCCGTACCATGTTTAGTAAGTATTGATTGCTGTGTATCTTGGTAACCATTTCCAAATATTGAATCCTCGCCAATAATCTATTAATTCTTGTCTGCCACCTTTCAGATTCCCACGCGAAATCCGATCTATTAAATTTGTAATGAGTTAAAGAAGTTTTCTGATATAATCTTAAGGTACATGATTTAAGGCCAGGCGAAAAATATCTTTTCCCGCATTTTCTTGTTGAGAGAGAGAGAGAGAGAAAAAGAAAGAGAAGAGAGGAGAGAACGGAGAGAGAGAGGGAGAAAGAGAGAGAAAGAAATGAGAGAAGCGAGAAGGAAAAGAGAGATTAGGGAGAACGGAGAGAGAGAGAGAAAAGAGAGAGGGGAGAAGGAAGAGAGAGAGAGAACGGAGAACGGAGAGAAAGAGGAAAGAGAGAGGGCAGAAGGAAGAGAGAAAGCATACAAATCCTTTTCCCGCATTTTCTTGTAGAGGGGGGAGAAGGAAGAGAGAGAGAAGAGGGGGGAGAGAGGGGAAAGAGAGAGGGGAGAAGGAAGAGAGAGAGAGAGGAAAGAGAGAGAGAGAGAGAGAGAGAGAGAGAGAGAGAGAGCATAAAAATAAAAATAACCAATATTGACTAAGAATGATTTTCTATGCTTAACTTTTTAACTTTTTGTTGCTTTTTATCACAACGCCTACGTCGTCCTTAAAAAGCAACAAAAATAAGATGAAAAAAGAAAACTATTCAAAAATTTATAATTACAATATTTATTTAAAAATTCAGGCAACATGTAAAATCTCTTATTACTAGGGTAACAAAAATAAAATGAAATTTCTATTCAAAACTTAAAAAAGCTACATTGCTTAATCTAAGCAATTTAGACCATTATATCTACTACTACTACTACTACTACTACTACTACTACTACTAAAAGTGTTTCATCATTTCCCATTTTAGTCGGTTTGTTGATATCCTCGTTGAAACTTTCTATCAATCGTTGACTCTAGAATTGTTTTTTCGGTGAGCTTTGTACGGTTTTTGAGTTTGTTTTTAAGCGATATTGATAATTTTTATGTCATACCCATACGTTATGAATAAATATGAAAAGATCGTGATAGATAGATAGATAGATATTAACAAAATGGGATAGATAGATAGATAGATAGATAGATAGATAGATAGATAAGAACAGACTTAGATATAAAAGAACGGACATAGATAAAGAACAGACTTAGATAAGAACAAACTTAGATAAATAGATATATAGATAAGAACAGACTTAGAGAGACATATAGATAGATAAGAACAGACTTAGATAGGTAGATAGATAAATAGATAAGAACAGACTTATATATAAAAGAACAGACATAGATAGATAGATAGATAGATAGATAGATAGATAGATAACAGACTTAGGTAAGAACAAACTTAGATAAGAATATATTTAGATAGATATGAACAGATTTAGAGAGACATATAGATAGATAATAACAGAGAATGAGATAGATAGATAGATAGATAGATAGATAGATAGATAGATAGATAGATAGATGGATGGATGTGTATAGTCTTGACTAGATAGATATATACATACATAGATTATTGAATAAGGCAGACAAGTAATATATCATTTTGTTATGTTTTGTTCAGTACTATTCAGGAATTGTCTGTAGTTTTTATCGATGGCTCTAGTATTTCAACCATTCTCTTGTCATCCTCTGGCGCCAAAATAGATGCTATTTATCAGGAAACGATGAGATGATTTGGCTAAACTGACGTCATATTGTCATTTCTGTTACGTTTTTGCGTTGGACATAAGAATTCGTACATTTTGTTGGATTTGTATAGTTTTACTTTTAAAGATTAGTGTTAACAGTGCCTATTGGCACTAAAGATACGATGTTGTTATTTATTTTTTATTAGAGAATTAATCGGATATGTTTATTAGGTCGACGAGGGATATGTTCCTACATATGATACTCTTAATAGCATTCTTGTTTTGATTATAATTAACATGCATCTCATCACCATAAAATTTAATTGCATTATTTTTTGTTGGCTGTATGGATTATTCTTCCATTTAATTTTATTTAGAGTAACTTTTTTAATTTATTCATCGATAGAGTTGGGTGATAGCTATGTAGATAGATAATGTTGAGTAGGAAAAGTCTGTCCAGGTTCCAACAAAGAATGCACTTTTAATTTTACCTAAAAAAAAGAAATAAATTTTTCCCATTAGATCTTGGCTGAGATATTAACGGCTGTTCTGGTTATAATGATGATTGCCTTTTTTTTTTAATTCTTAGAATAAAACCATTTTTCGTTGCTAGTGACTATGTTCGAAAATGTCTTTTTGTACATGAAGCAAAATAAAAACGACAATTATTGAAACGTTAACCGAGGCTTTGGCGTTGGACATAAGAATCATAGCACAATTTGGCTATTGTTTATTTTTTATTTGTTCGTAGGGAAAGGTAGCAAGAAAAGGCTACTAGAAGTGAAATTGTAAAAGCAAGAGTATTTCTAAGGATATATATTTTAAAAGCAAGAGTATTTCTAAGTAAAGATATTGTAAAGTATAGAATGTTTCTAAGGAGAGAGTGTTTCTAAAGTAGGTACCTCCACTATTTCGGCATAAATTTTCTATATTGAAGTTTAAAATGAATTTTTTACACGAAAAAAACATTCTTGAAGATTTCATTTTAGCTTTAATTGAAAGTTTAATAATTAAATTTACGATTTCTATTAATTAAACAATTCTGGTGTATTTCAGATAGAAACTATATACATTTGATTGTCAAATTTATATTCAAATTTTTAAATTTTCTTAAAAACGGCCATTTTCTTAATTTTAAGAAATTTGTAAACAAACACAAATTTATCGATTTTTAAAATATTAAAAAAAATTCTGACACGTTATTTTAGTAAAATTAAAAAAATTAAAGTTAAAGTAATCTGATTTCAAAGAAATCTTTGTTACTTATAGCATAAAAAATAATATACAACCGATTATTAACGAGCGGTCCTGTTCATCTGTTCGATCTATTGATGATGGTTGATTGACGAGCCGATGACAGCTACTACTGATGACCATAAATGACATAATTTTTAAGTCTGAGTTTTTAAAAAATTATTCTATTTGAGTATGAAACACACTAATGGAAATACAATACATAAAATAAAATTATTTAGTGAAATAGTAAATGAAAAAAAAGAAAAAATAATTTAAAATTTAAAGTTTACACTTTTAAAGCTGAACGGAAAATACAACCTGTAAGAAACGAAATGTTTTGAAAAGGCCACGCAAAGGGATAAAACACTTAGATCACGTGACCTTGTTATAATAATGGCAATTTCTCTATATCATACATGGAAATAAGGAATATATTAAGTAAAAATATACAACATAAAAAATTATTTTTAAAAAAAGTAGCGCAACTAAATTTATTAAACTTAGCAATTTTGGACTAGTAAATTTTTTTTCTACTTAATTACTACATAATATTGAGGAGCCCTCCTAATACAGAGCTTTTACACGATGTTAAACTATTATAAATTATTATAATTAAAATTTCTTAAAAAATGAAAAAATTCTTGTAAAAATTAATTATTCATCAGAAAAAAAATTATTTCTTCAGGCAATAATGTCCTTAATATTACATATTTACAAAAGCAATTAAAAGCTTTTCTAATTAAGTAATATCATAGTTTTATTGGATTCATTATTTTTCAATTCAGACAAGATTTTCAGTTAAGTAGCTCAAATTTGAAAAAAAAAGTAGGTTATTTACCATCTCCAAAGACTCCTTCTTTTAACAAAAAATAAAATTGAGGAGCCAAAAAGGTTTTGGGCGAAATTTCATGAAATTAACTAAGTGGCGGGTAACATATTTAAAAAAAATATTTTTACCAAAATTTTCTAAAAACAAAAATTATTTCAAAAATAATTTCATTCATTTGTGAATAAGTCCTGAAAATTTCATTAAGATTGGACAATTATTTTATTTTTACAAGAATTTCCAAATCAATATGTTTTCAACGGGAAAAAAACGCAAAAAAAAAAAAATGTTATTTTAAAACGTCACCGCGATGACGTAAACAAAGACGACTTTAACCAAAATTTCGAACGTGTTAGAAAATATTAAAAATTTCAAAAAATAATTAAAAAATACTTTTTTTCTTTCATCTTAATAATAACATAAGCATTTTGACGATAATACTTTATTTTCTTTAAGTTTGTGGCATTTTTCATTTACGCTATGCTGTTTTTCCGCGAAAACAGTGGACATGCTTATTCTAAAGAGATATATTGTAAAGGCAAGAGTGTTTCAAAGAAGCGATCTTGCATGAACACATTTGATATTTGCAATTGATGTGGGTCTTGTTTTTTACAGGGACTTTGAGCTTATGTTTGTCTGTTTGAACTCGCACGTGTGTATGTGTGTTGGTACTTTATAAATGTTTATAAGATGGTCTGAAGAGGTATGTGACCCAATAGGAACCGGCTGAAATCAGGACACCCACAAAGAAGCGGGCGGTAAATGAATTTAACTGCATCTCAAGTATTTGGGGGTTTTATGAATCAACATCGTCATCATCATTATCACCATCATCATCATCACCTTGACCGGGTGCAGTTGCGTTTCTGACCAGTTCCCGCCATATATACGCGTTGAAAGCCGGAGAAGTACCCATTCATGCGACAAGTACACCTGGTGGAGCCCATCCCTCTCCAGGTTAAACCACAAAAGATGTTTGCGAGGAAGATAACGGTTCACTCTTGCCTTGAACAGGCCAAGATTGTAGTGATCAGGGATGGTTTTTCTTGGGGATCAGTTCCATAAAGCAGCCGTTCGTAGGAAGAAGCTGCTTGAGTTGAAATTGCATCTCACCAATGAAGTGCGAAGGAAATGAAAATGGTTCGCTACAATGTGCGTGGCAAGGTGCATCTTAGAGCCGTAATGGTTAGAACTGGTGGAACTAAGGAATATGGTGCGTTTGAACATTTAGCATTGAAATATCTATAGAGCAGCGAGAGCTTTTACGACATTTCCTCCGCGGGAAAGGGGTTGAAGGGTGAAAATAATTCGTCACTCGCAAGGCCACGGAGACACTTTTGGATTCTACCGAGACTAGAAAATGAAGACTGGCTAGCTCCTGACCATATATAGCAGTTGTTGAAGCTTGGATAAGCATGGAATAATAATAATAATACAACACAAAATGTAAGTAACCAAAATGTATTGAAACAAGGAAAAGGTACACAATATTTACAGTTAGTTTTGGTATATTCTTGGGAAGACCGTTCCTGTAGAATGGGTTGACTTAATCGCAGTCGGGCAGAGTCTCTGGATTGCATCTCTTCTTACTTCCTCCCCCTCGTCTTCCCGGTACCAACCCATATTTATATGGTCGGTACTCCATTATGTAAATTAGGTGGATCGTACCACAACAGCAGTAGTACTACATTTTCGGCTTAATCTAGCTCTTGTAAAGGTGTTGTATATTGCTACTGGGCTCAGATGAGGCGACCAACATATATATATATATATATATATATATATTAAGCATTTCATCCCAAGCAAGGCGGGAAGCCACTAGGACGCAAGGGGTTACAGAAAATTTAGAGCAAGATCAGATAGGAGTGATAGAAGAAAGGATGAGGGTAGTGGATAGATCAAGGCAACTGGAGATGTCGATTGACATTACACTTGAATAGCTGGAGATATCTTTATTTTTAAGTAATGTCAAAGGTCTTTCCTCAAGCGATATCCAACATGGTATAGGATAGCAGGAGGGGTTAGGTACTTACTGGAGTGGTGCAGGAACCCAACCATTTTCCTAGCATCTTTAGAGATGGATCGTATGTACGAATTCCACATGAAGTTTGGGTTGAGTTTAAATCCCAATAATTGCTCCACCCAATGATGACATTTCATCACCACATTGGTTGCGTGCATAGCTATGGAGCTGTTGTGCAACATGGCCTGTTCTCCTACAAGAAGGTTCCCCAACTCTTTAATAGGTCTTGTTTTTAATTCTAGTGAGTCTATAGCCACTGTCCTAAGAAGAAAAAGCCTGGAGAACTGATTTAGTCGCTGATGATTCGATCATGTGGCAGACAGAACTGGGTTACATGCTGCCAGTAGCACTCGTAGACTGACTGACATATGATTTTTATGACTCTGTAAACAATAAAATCTTTGAAGTAAAATCTTTAAAGTAACCACCCACTGACCAAAAGAAAAGGCAATAAATAGATTAATAAATGAAAACATTCGGGAACAAGTGCCACTTGACCGAAAATTTGAAAGTTCTGCTCGCAGGCTTATATAAACCGTCACTGAGAGAAAAAGAGAAATATTATTAATGAGCGAGAACAATAGAAGGGTAATCAAAAAGACAGTAGATAACGATTGACACTGCATTTAAATTTTTGAATATCAAAGTTGGCAGGAAAGCATTGTGCCGGAAGGGAGTTTCCATAAGCGAGAAGTACGAGAAAAGAAACTGTTAGCATAGAACTTACGGTTATATCTAGTGAATTCAACTGTTAATTGATGAGGCCTTGTCA